ACCCCTACCCCTACCCACCTCCCCCACATACACTCTCAGCCTGGTTGCAGAAGGGCCAGTGCCCTCCTCTTTCCACACACTGGACTAAAACCACACTCAAGATGCAACTTCAGCGAGGAGATCCATTATCCCCAGACGTCCCTGCTGCCCACTTCCCACTTCATGTTATTTTCAGGGTCAGGCCAGCCAAGCGTTAATAGGAAATCACTGGCTTGCTCTATAAGACCCCCAGCCTCGGCCCTTAGTGAGCACTGGGGCCTTTAAAAGGCCAGCCCCCCTGAGCTAAGTCCGGAGTTCCAAAGGAGGGAGCCCCAGGTCCCAGGAGAGAGCAGTGAGCAGCCTCGTGTCTGCCCCTCAGATCTGCCTGAGCCTGGGCCGCCTCCTCCACCACCTGGCCCACTCCCCGCTGGGCTCTGTCACCCTGCTGGACTTCCGCCCCCGACAGTTCGTGTTGGTGGATGGGGAGCTGAAGGTGACGGATCTGGACGACGCACGTGTGGAGGAGACGCCGTGTGCAAGCAGCAGCGACTGTGTGCTGGAGTTTCCTGCCAGGAACTTCACCCTGCCCTGCTCAGCGCAGGGCTGGTGCAAGGGCATGAACGAGAAGCGCAACCTCTACAATGCGTACAGGTGACCTCTCCCCCGCTCAGGAAGGCCAGCGAGGGGGTGGGCTGGAGGGCCTGGCTGGGGGCAGCCCACACCACGTCCAGGAGGCCAGCCGGAGAGGGAGGCTCAGCCTTGACCAGTGGAGTAGCAGGGAGGGGAAGGGCTTCCACCCAGCCCAGAAGGGAACATTCACGCTCGCCGGTGAGGCTAAAAATAGCCAGCCCCAAGGAGAGTCTGGGTTGGGGGTGGCAGCTGGAGGCTTCTTAAAATAGTGTCAGACTCAGAGCTTCGGGCCATGACACTGACACTGCTCCCTCCTCTCCTGACCCTTTACCTCCCTGGGCCCGTCATGGGGCTGCTCTGACACTGGTCAGTTGGCGGGTAATGTGGGGCTGAGCGGTGGGGAAGGCAGACCTCAGGTTTGTTTGGTGGGTTAGTTGTGGCCTTAGCATGTGTCCAGACCCCAACCCTGAGCCTGAGTAGACTCCATGTAAGCTCTGGGGGATATGCCTCGTTGGTAGGCCTGAGGGATCGGGCTTCCTGGAGATAATCGGGGCTCTGTCTCAAGCTGGTGTAGAGGAAGGAGGTGTCACCAAAGGCTGGACCACTGAGCCCCTGGTTTCTCTCTGCTTCAGGTTTTTCTTCACATACCTCCTTCCCCACAGTGCCCCAGCCCCACTACGGCCTCTACTGGACAGCATCGTCAATGCCACGGGTGAGCTCTGCAGGGCCCATCTGCTTCCCATCCCCCTGCCTCTGCCCCAGCAGGGGTGGGGATGAGAATGACCCAGACAGCACCTGGTCCAGAAACCATTTCCCAAGTNCTGCCCCAGCAGGGGTGGGGACGAGAATGACCCAGACAGCACCTGGTCCAGAAACCATTTCCCAAGTGGCATTCTGTGGCAGACCTCCTCCCCAGTCCACCGGTCACCTGGGCCCAGGATCCAGAGAAAGAGAGAAAGGCAGCTGCCTGCCATCGAGGGTCCCCTCTCATAGCCACACCGCACCCCGCAGGAGAACTCACGTGGGGGGTGGATGAGACCCTGGCCCAGCTGGAGAAGGTGCTGCACCTGTACCGGAGCGGCCAGTATCTGCAGAACTCCACCGCAGGCAGCAGAGCTGGTGAGTGCCCTGGCGGGGACCCGGGGGCTGGAGAGGTGAAAGACAGGTGGGAGGGCGACCAGTCCCCCTAATTGGGCTAAGTGGCTCACGTCCCCCCTCTGAGGCTCATTTGGCCTGATAGACTGCTGACTGTGTAGCCTTCACTTGGGGGCCTCATCTCTGGCTGAACTAGAACTAGAACTTGGCCTTAAACTGGGGGGTTGACGCCAACATCCTTTTTCTGAGTGGCTTGAAACTGCACCATGTACTATCTGTGAGACTTTGAGCAAGTTACACCTTGAGCTTCACCTTCCTCATCTGTGAATTGGGTTCGGAATTACCTGCCTCACAGAATTCTTATGGAGCTTAAATGCCAGGTGAAGTGTGTGAAAGCAATTAACCCGGTTCCCACCCCACAGCTGGAACACAACACGTGTTTGCTTCTCTCTCCTTCCTCTACNGGGGGGGGCTCCACACTGAAACCAGTCAAGAAGCCTCGGAGCAGGGGGAGGCTCCTAAGTCACTGCTTAGGGCTCTGGTCCCTCCACTGAGGCCCTGGGGTTTAGCGTGGTTGGCAGGGGGGCTAGGGGTGGCAGCCTCCGTATTCAAGGAGCTCCGGCCAGTCTTAGGGGTGGGGGAGCCCTCGTTAGCCCTGTAAATAAAGTTTAACGAGGTGAACAATGGCTGGCTCTGTCCCTGAGGACGCCGTTTATGGGGCTGTAAATCACAGCCAGCCCTGGACTTTGGTCTAGTCCCTGGTAGAAAGACGCAGGAGGGCGGGGTGACCAGGGGCCCAGGGCTTCTGCATTATCAGTCCAGAGCAGGGCTCCCCAGGCAGTGGGAAAGCCGTGGTGACCCGGCAGTCTACAGCTGAGCCAAGCCTGCTTCCTGATGGAGAGATTGCAGAGGCTCTTTCTGTGTAATGGGAGGAGATCTCAGGTTCTTCCTCCAGCCTCCTCCCCAAACACTCAAGTTGTGGATTCCCAAATGGTAATTTTTGTGTTTTACATTCATTTGCATGCCTCTTAAGTTCAAAAATCCCTGACTGCCCCCTTATCTGAGGGGCTTGCCTAACCTCTCTCCCCAAGGCCAGGAAGAAGGCCACCCTAGACCTTGTGAATCAGAATCAGCATTTTAACAAGACTGCTTGGACATTAACATGCACAGTGAAGTTAGAGAAGCCCACTCTAAATGTCCAGAACGTTCTGACTTTAGCTTGGACAGCGAGTGACTCTGGGTGTGTGTTTATCCCACAATGTGTCCATTACTGCGTGCTGCCCGAGACAGCTGCATGTTCTTAGATTCGGGAGACGTGTGTCTCCCCAAAACTAAATCTGACCATTGCCTTTACTGAGGAGTCAGCCCAGTCTCAGCGTGCTGGCTGCCTCATCTCCACACTAGGGGGACTGGGCTGCGTTTCAGCTTTGTCCTAGGAAGTGAATCTTCCTGTCCTTTCCAGAAAGTGGCCAAACCCTCACCCCAGGGCACACACAGTTCTCATCTGAGCCCCATCCCCACCCCGCAGAGTACCAGTGCCTGCCAGACAGCACCATCCCCCAGGAAGACTACCGCTGCTGGCCATCCTACCACCACGGCAGCTGCCTCCTTTCCGTGTTCAACCTGGCTGAGGCCGTGGACGTCTGTGAGAGCCATGCCCAGTGCCGGGCCTTTGTGGTCACCAACCAGACCACCTGGACAGGTGAGCAGTGGGAAAGGACATCATGAGGGAGGTGACCGGACTTCCCCAGAAGAGATTGATAGTAATGGTCCTCCATCAGAAGCCAGAGATGATGAGAATAGGAAAAGGCTGAGGTGATAAGAGACAAGTATATGTGTCCTCACGGCTGTCACATTAGGGAGAGTGGCCCTGCCTCCAGAGAGAGAAACATCCAGACCTATTTATCTCCCACCTCTGCCCCCAGGTCGGCAGCTCGTCTTTTTCAAGACAGGATGGAGCCATGTGGTCACTGATCTCAACAAGACCACATATGTGAGGACCTCTGGCTGAGGGCTCAGCTGACCGGCTGACCATCCCCGCCAGCGGGGCTTGCCTGTGGAGGGAGTGACTTGCCCTGGCAGCACTGCATGTCGCCCGGGAACCACTGCAGACAGGCTGACATCCCAGACCAAGGTGACCAGGACAGTGTGCAATAATGCCAAATGTTAAAATGTGAGTTTACCTGTCTAGGTGCGGGACTGCTGGCTCCAGGGCTAGGAATCCTGGGGGCTGCCTGCCTGCGACCCTCTGGGCCGCCAGCAAGGCTCAGGCTGGCCTCCCCGTGGGAGCTCTGCCCCTTACTGGGACAGTTCCATGGGCAGCCCCGTCACTGTGTTCGTAGTATGAGAATGTAGCCAAAGCCCCGGCTGCTGCTGCTGCTGTTGCTACAGGTGCCATGGCCTCGCAGGGGCCGCATGGAGACAATCGGTCAGAGTGTTCTCTCAGCTGAGCTCCGGACAGGAGACGTGATGGGATGCGCCAGGAAGTCAGTGGCTCTGTACCTGGGAAGGCCACCCGCCCAGGGTTTTCACGGGCCCGCCCGGGGACAGTGGCAGAGGAGCACACGTGGTATGAGCCAAGACGTGGGGTCGAGGAGCAGGTGCGGTTTGAGCCAGGACTTGGGGTGGGGGTGGGGCCGGGGCCTTTCTGCCTCATTTGCTTTCAGTGAAAGCCAAAAACAGCCAAAAACAGCCTCTCCCTCCTCCTGGAGTTTGTATATCCAGAAGCTTTTGTACTTCTTGTTCATTAAAATGTTTATTTTTGTAAAAAAAAAAAAAAAGTCAATCAATTAATAAAGTGACGTTTCACGACAAGGCCTCTTCCCAAGCCACTGTTTCTTGGGCTGACTTACTTGGCCCTCAGCTATGTCTTGGGTGTATGTTTGGGGGAGGGGCAGTGTGTCATGAGGGATGATGTTCGAGTGAGTGAAACCTGAAGTTGGCAAAATGTGTTTTCAGGCCCTGCTCGTATGGTGCCCACCTCCCTTCTGGGCCATCCACATCCATGTCAGCACAAAAGATAAGAGGGACTTCGTCCCTAAGGAGGTTCACTTTTTAACACACACCGGCTACTTCTATACAGACCCTCTAGCTAAAGGAGTGATGTCTTAATGGTGGGATGTCAACCATCTCAGGGGACCCCACGCAACCTCTGGTCAGGTCAGCTTTGCCCTGTTCAGGGTTGGGCCTGGCCACCACCACCACTGCCCTCCACAAAGTAATGGGCACTTTTTTTTTCGGAGTCTTTTTCTGAGCAAGAAATATATGGAAAGTAAAGAGAAAGGAAGGCGTGGCCAGCATGGCTCAGTGGTTGAGCGTCGACCTATGAACCAGGAGGTCACTGTTCAATTTTCCATTATCGCACAGGCCTGGGTTGTGAGCTCAATCCCAGTAGGGGACATGCAGGAGGCTGCTGATCAATGACTCTCTCCCTCTCCCTTCCTCTCTCTAAAATCAGTAAGAACATTTTTAAAAAGAGAGAAAGAAAGGAAAGCCTAGGAAAAGACCAACCCCCTCTTCCAGGTTTTAGGAGGGAGGGTCTAGCAGGGGAAGGCCCGACTGTATGGAAGCGCAGAGCAAAAAGAAGACCTAAGGGTTCCAGGTCACACTGAGGCCAGAGAGAGCCCCAGCGTGGACGCACGTCTTCCAACTTGAAATTCCATCTCTTCTCTCTTGTACACTATCCTGCTTCTAGAACATTCTTAAAGTGCACAAACCTTTGAGGGCTTTAAAAAGAATAACCAAACTTTAACTCGACCCAATTTCTCCTCAACAGATGTGGTTGGTATAATTTCTCAAATGCAAAATGCCCTTGTAGTTCTAAGTGATGGAGGAGCCAGTGTTAGCCCTGGAGTCCTCACCACTATGCCTGAGCCACATACCCCGCATCTTGCCTCTGGCTGCTTGGGCTTGGTGATTGGGGTGGGGTGGGGGGGCCGGGGGGCCAGACAGAGCCTCACACCGTGACTCAGCCAAGTCAGATCCTGCCCATGCTCACCCCCTCAGTCGCCACCTCTCCAAGGAGGACCTCAGCTTTCATCAGCCTCCAGACCTCTTTCTTCAGCTGAATTCATGCACAACACGTGTAGCCTGCCCAATGTCCTCTGTTCTCCAACTGCCAAGTAGTCTGTGGGGCTCTGAGGGCAGAAGGAAACACGTCACCATGCTGGGCCTAAGGATGTGCCATAGGGTGGGGATAGGAAGGTCTGTGGGGTCTGTGCAGTCCAGAGGGAAACAAAAGACCTGGTTACAATCAGAGAGGGTCTCAGGGCCCAGGGTCTGTGTGACTCGGTGAGGAAAGAGAGAGCTGAAGATGCACCAAGCACTGCCTTCTGGGATTCTAGAAGTTTCCAGATGGGTTCACTGGTCCATGAAGAGTTGGTAGTCTCTGGCCTCCAGGAGGAACAGTTACCATTCCAATTTTACAGACCCGAAACTTCCAAGCCTGTCTCAAGGGGAGATTGCAGCAAGAGGAATCTAAGGTAGAGTTAGAGCCCTCGCTTACTTTGACAAGCTAAGATAAAAGTCCAAAGCAAATAAACCTTCTTAGAAAGCTCACCCACAGGTTGCTGAAGGGATGGTACATAGCTCCTTCCTCCAAGAGTGAGTCTTGCCTCAACCTAGGGCAAAATTGGCCAAGGTCAGTCCTGCGGAGTAGGGAGATGGGCATTTGCAGCTGGGAATGGAAAAGTGATGGAGTGCCCTGAAAGGAAGGGGATAGTGACTGAAAGCCTGAGGCAAAATAATTGCTTCCCCCAGATGGTCGTTTACATGTAGCCACCTGTCCCCCTGGAAAACTCCTGGGTACATTGTCCCCTTCCTTCGGGAGCCAGAACCATCCCCCTCCCCAAAGTCCAGGTCCTTTCCACTCCACTGCACAGCCAGCCATACCCAGGTGTAGTTGGGTGAAGTAACACACTCACCCAACGGAAGCTTCAGCTGACGGTGCCAGGGCAGGGAACCTGAAAGTTCCCTATGGCACATCCCTCCAGGGCTGCACACCAGAGGCGGTGTTGCCACCGGTGCCCCCCAAGGCCCTGGAGGAGTTGTGCCCAGTCCTGCTTTGCTCACTGTGATGGGGGCTGCAACAAACCCTGAGCCTCCATGTCCTCATCTGCAAATTTTAGGTGAAAAATGTCTGCTTCCCAGGACTGTTGCAGCAATTGAACGAAATCATGACGCAGGGGTCTTAGCCAGTGTCCACAAACGGGGTGCTTAGGAAACACGGGCTGATACCGTCATGAACTGTTACGAGCGAGCTGAGCCCTCACCTACCGCCTGGCCTGAAGCGTCCGGGTTGGCTGCGGAGAACCGAAGCCCAGCCAGGCTGACCAGACCGCCTCCAGCCGCCCACCAGGGAACACTGCCACCGCCCGGAGGAGGAGGAGCCCGGCTCTCCGGGTCAGTGCCCTGGGAGTGGAGTGTGTGGCAGACAGAAGGAGGAAGGGGATTAACATGAAAGCAGAAAATGGGATTAGGAGGCCTCGGGATAATGTGCCCACCCACCCCCATCCATGACAACGCTTCTCGCTTTCACTTTATGGCCTCTGGAGTCTGGAGCGGAACATGTACTGCTTGGTCTCCCCCGGCTCCCAGGGGCAGAGCCGGGAAGAGGTGGGGAAGACTCAGGGCACGACACTGCTCAGTCTGCGGGGAAGAGGGGCCGGGCCGCTCACGGTCTCATTTCATGCTCGTGGCAGCAGTGTGAGAGGTGAGGAGCCAGGATTCCAGCCTAGGCCACTGCCCCTGAGCCTGTTCCTTCCCAGCTACCCACTGTCTCACACAGGAGCACAGCGTCCCCCGGGGCCCGAGAGACCAATGACTACTCGACCTGCCACTTCCCTTGGGAAGGATTCCCAGGCTCACAGCCTGCCTTGACAGGACGCCCAGTGCAATTAAAGGAGACCCCATCTGCCTCTCCAGCATCATCCTATAAGAGTGAGGATGTCCCCAAAGAGCCTGACCTTTTTAAAGGATCCCTTTGAGGCCTCTCGTGCGGGGCCTCTATTTCCCGTTCACCTCTCTGCAACTCCGGGCCAGCGCTGCCCCCTTGGGTGGCAAAATGCTCCATCAGTTCCAACTATGTGAGGGAGATAGGCCACAATAGTTCTTAAAATTACTTCTCAAGCTCTAAAGGATCCTTGATGACCTGTAGGGAGAAGTTTATTCTCCCACCTCATCCCATAAAACCCTTTCAGACCTCTTGTTAGTATGATCCCTTGTCCTCCTGCCCAGCCTACCCAGTCCCTCACCTCCTCTCACCTGCCCTCTGCTGGCCTCGCTCCAGCTCCAGAGATCTCTCCCTCTGTCATTCGGGTCCCAACGGGAAATGGAGAGCGCAATGAACGTAAGATGTATTTACAAATGTGTGGGTACAGGGGAACCCCATGGGATTATTGCTGTAACTTGGGGCTAGTAGCAGTAGAGGGATCTCCACCCAGAGGAAGAAGGTCTGTTATCAGAACCCAGAAGGAGTGAAATACCAAAGGACCCAGCCAGGCAGGGTCACCTCACAGGAAGGGAGCCAGAAGACATGTATTCTCACCACACTCTCCTCCTGCCCCCAAAGCCCCCCTCTCCTGTGGAGCTCTGTATTGGTCAAACCTCCCTTGCACCCAGAGGAAGCTGGATGTGAGCTGTCTAATTGTCAGGCCACTGAGAGAGCAGGGGAAGAAGGGGAGAGACCCATCACACCGCCCTACTTCTCATTTGAGCTTCTGTTGGGCTTGAGGAGAGGGCAAGAGAAGACTCCCTTTTTGTGCCCAGTTCCATTCTTAGCTGTTCAGCTACTTGTTATGTGTTTGGTTTTGGTTTTCAGAGAGAGTGGAAGGGAGGGAGGGGGAGAGAGAGAGAAACTTCGATGTGAGAGAGACACATCAATTGGTTGCCTCCCACACATGCCCCAACCAGGCAGGGAACTAACCTGCAACCCAGGTTACGTGCCTTTGATCCAGAATCGAACCCACAACCCTTCAGTGCGCAGGCTGACACTCTAACCACAGAGCCACACCGGCCAGGGCTTATTGTTCTGTATGAATGAAGGGACACATTGGGCCCAAAGCTTCAGGGAGTCCTCCACAGATACGTTCTCATCCGGGGTATGGTCATCCCTAAGGAGACAAAACTTGGTTCTTGGGAGATAAAAAGTCTTAGAGATCACAATGGTTCTGGCCCTCCAAGTGGCTCCAGTCCATAAGCAGTCTGTCCCTGCTACTCAAATTTCATGAAGGTGGTGGCAATTAGGAAGAAAAAAAAATCCACAAGAGTACTTGGAGGGGGAGGGGGCAACAATAAAAAATAGAAGGGCTGGATTATAGCGGCTCAGAACTCTCTTGGGCTGTCACTGAGAGCTTTGAACCAGCCACCCTCACAAATGTGGTTTATTCAATAATTTTCTAAACAGATATGCACATTTTGAGGCACTCTCTGAGCAGTTCATAATAAAAATAAAAGGCAACGTGGATTATTTTTCACGTAGTGCTTTCCTCAGCCTGCCCTTGCCCGTGGTGAACATCTTGGGCCACTCTGCATTTCCCTGCAGCTCACAGCCTTCAGGGGTTATTTTCCTACACCGGAGAGCTCAGGGTCACCGGCAAGCCAGGGGATTCCAGTGTACACGCACTCTTCTCGCAACTGCTCAAGCCACAAAATATTTCTTGAGTGCTAGTCACTGTAATTAATACCGAAATATCAGACATGCCCCTGCCTTTCAGGAGCTCATGATGTTACTAGAGATGTCACAAAGTGAACAAATTCACCAAGGCAATATACGAGCTGTGACTGTAGGGCAATGAGGCCAATTTCCACATGTGGCTTGTGAAAGCAA